ATTCATATTTTCATATGAGGATATAATATAAATGCCTGCACGTTTAACTTGGGAACCCAGCACTGCTCAAAAAGTTAGTTGATGGACATATAAACTTTCCACAGATCCCTGTTTGTAGGGGCAGTGCTATCACTCCTAGCCTGCTCTATTATCTTAGAATTAATCAGTATCTGTGTGTCAAATGGTAATGTATAGTAATTTTGTACATATCTTCTCAGTTAATTATGGTCGGGACTAAAAAAGTATAAGTATTTTGGTTGGTTAATATGAATATATTGCATATACAGTACGTTTTTTCTCATATACAGTCAGCAGGTATAGCCTTTGGCTACTATTTATGTGTTTTATCTTCTCTCTATACTGCCTGTTAGAAAATGCAAATTGTTTACATGGCTCAATAGCTGATGCAAAAATCTATACAGAGAAGTGAGTTGGAACAGTGGCTCTTTCCTCTCCCACCTTCTTATGGCTCAGGTTTCAATCATACAGTGAGCCTGAAGGTATTTTTCTGTGCTTTGCATTGGAAAACCAGAGAGCTCTGGTAATCCCTAAACTTTTTTTTCATTTTGAATAGCGCAAAGGGGGGATAAACTTCCTGTCAGATGCTGTTGGTTTTTTTTTGCCATCTGTGTCCCATTTTAAAGTTTTCCCTTCATTTCATGTCCCATAGCCAAACAGGAAGTGAGAGGAAATCCCTTCAGATTAAGAAAATCCCATGGGGACACCCTGCTCCCTATTGGAAGATTTCCCCCTCTATTACTTTTCTGGAGAAAACTCAATTTGGGATTTTCTCCTACTTTCACTTTCAGTAATAATGGTAAACAGGACAAATAGAGAGGGTTAATTTCTTTAAAGGGGGCACAGACAGCAATAAAAACTGACAGTGTTTCTAATCCCCCTCCACTCTGTCCAAAACAAAAAAAAGTTTTGCCTTTAGGTATATTTTAAATCCTTTAGCATGAAAACGTTCATGCTAACATTTGTATCCGTACAGTAAATTGGACCCTGCCGTCACTGTTTAGGGCAAACATGTAATAATACTATAGTGTGTAATCAGCGGGTGCTGAATGAGTCATTCATGTCAGCAGTGACACGTGTAAAATTTTTCAATCAAATAATTTACTAGGAAGGGAAGAAGTAGCTATACAAGCTATCTGAGCTATATGGACTGTATGTCAGATAGCCAGATTCAGCACAAAATGTATAAGGCTGCAGGAGGCCAATTATGCACCCGATTTTATGACAAAGAATGAATGTTGATCCTACAGAGAACTTCCTATGGGGGAATAATTACATACATTTCCCTCAGATGCAGCCGTCATCAAATCCCACTAATACTGAGGAGTGGTACTGTGAACAGACTTTGTAAAATCGCATATTAATAATATGCATCAATATATGGAAAAAGCAAAAGGTAAAACAGACTATTGCATGTTTTAAATGTTTGCATTAGATACTCTCGTTCTGTATTAAATCTATACAGTATTTTAACCTCTTGGCGCCGGCCGCACGCAAATATACAGCCTCTCGGCGTCTGGACCTTGACGCCGAGCAGCTGCACATTTGCGTACAATTAAGAAAAACATATGTGCTGAGGGCGCGTGCCCTGCGTGCTCCCAGCACACATGTCCAGTACTCACTGAAAGATCCCGATCTCCTCTTTCGATCGGGACTTTTCCCGATCATGTGACCGCCATGACAGAGAATCACGGCAGTCACATGACCCTAAAACCCCGCCCTGGCTTCGGAAGCCCTTAAAGGGTCGGAGGCGCTGGCGTCTAGGGGTTAAATATATATTCTTAAGCCACATTGGAGAAATATTTTTTTTTTTTAAATTAAAATAACAAACATGTTATACTCACCTGCTCTGTGCAGTGGTACTGCACAGAGCGGCCCTAATCTTCCTCTCCTTGTGTCCCCCGCCGGCCATTGCCTCTTCTTGGTGTGTCCCCATAGCAAGCCGTTGGGTATGGAGGCACATGGTGTCTGCTTGCTCCCGAGCTGTGAGTCTACACAGCAGGGCTTAGCCCACCCCCACTTCCTCCTCACTGCCAATGGCTCCTGCTGCTGTTCGAGTCCCTGTGCGAAGAAGAGAAGGGACGAGATGTAGCCGTGTATGGCACTCTGCACTCTCTTCCCCTTCACACAGGGAGGGGGGGGAGCATAGAAATATATAAAATGTTTTTTTTAACTTAATGCATTAAAGTAAAAAAAAAGTTTGTAGCTTTAGTATCTCTTTAATGTTTAACTAGACATAACATTAACTAGAGCTAGCTTTGACTACATACCGTAAGTGACACTGTTCTGGCAGCAGCACTGGCGACTTCCTGTTCGCTTCCAGAATTTAAGTGATTCTAAAGCTTAAGCTTTTTTTTTTTTTTTTTTTTTTTTACCCTAATGCATTCTCTGCATTAAGGTAAGAGACCTTCTGTGCCACAGGATCCCCTCCAGCCCCCTGCTAATACCTGAGCTCAATCTCAGTCCAGGGCTGTGCTTGAGAGTAGCGGATCTCTCTACACTCTCCCTTCTCACAGGGTAGATTGATAGCACCAGGAGTCACTGGCTCAATCAAAGCGTGTGATGAGGGAGCAAGGGGGTGGGGCTGAGCCGTGCTGTCTGTGTCTAGAAGACAGAATGTTGGTGCGCTTTCAGAAAATGCATCAAAACCACCCGATCCAGTAGAAATCTATGGCAAAGCTCATGTAACTCGCTCAAATCCCACAGGTACACTGCACTGTGACTCCCACTCCTGGACACTAACTACCTTTGCTGAATGGTTCCTACACTTTTTGTAAAGCTGAAAACAAGGCATATAAGTATAGTAATGACTTTTTTTTTTTTTTTTTTCATTTTTACATTATAATTTGAAACATAAAAAGTACAACATGAGGTAACCGAAAAGTAAAAGTCACTGCCTTCAAATCTTTTCACATTTCCATTGTTATTACCATGACCACCAATACTTGTCATTATTGCTGGCCTTTGAGGCCTTCTGCCTCCTATTCCCGTGCCTGTCATGTGAGTCATTCAAGTGCAAAGTAATTCTGGTCCCGGCGGCAGCTCAGGGGGGTCATGTGATTCGTATAGCATGAGGAAGCCATGACAGCCTAACAATTTCTCTTCAATTACTGTTTAAAATAAGCTTTCAAGCTGTCAACTCTTTAATGCTGCAATTTATATTAGTCGTATATGCAATCTACACCAATTACCAGAGTTCTGTATCTCTACAACACAGTCAATCTTCTGTTACTCATCTACTTTCACATGAAAGGTGAAGGTCGACAATTCACTAACCTTTAATATTCTCCAGAAAATTACAATACAATTCTCATGTTTTAGTTACTGATTTTAAACTGATCAACATCCTAGAATTTGCATAATTATCATTTATAAAACAGACTATGCCCTAGCATACTTAGTGATGTATCAAATGAGACTTGTCAAGTTTGTTGAATATATATTGCTACAATAAAAGGGTGGTAAGTTTAAGTTACTAGAATTGCTGTTTATTGACTTCACTTTGAAGCTGTAGCTCAGGTACCCCCCCATATTTCACAGTGCACATGCCTTGGTGACTACTCAGGTATGTTTTTCGCATTTGGCACAGTGTGTTAGTGGTTAACACTTCTGCCATGCTGTGCTGGAGCTCTCGCTTCGAGTCTTGGTCATTACACTATCTGCATGGAGTTTGCATGTTCTCACTGTGCTTACATGGGTTTCCTCCAGGTACTCCAGTTTTCTCTCACGCTCCAAAAAAATGTTGTAGGTTAATTGGCTCCTGTCTGGCACATTTTGCTGTCTGGAAGCTAAAAAGAATGGGAAATTTGAGTGAAGAGTGAAAAACAGTTTTGCTTTTGACTGCTGGTGATTGCTGGTGCTTGTATCTTCTTTGGGGTCTTGCTAGCAGCTTTTACTTTTTCTTGTCACTTTTTAAATAGCATTTTTTTTTCCTTTCCATCCTTCAGTCTGCTGATTAAGGGGAGGGGTTAATTGATCACAGGTGATACAGGTACTATATAACATTCTGTAGAGCTCACTCTGAGCTTGCTCTTTCTTTAGCTTGCCTGTATTTTGCTTGCTAGATCTTTGACAAAGTGGACATTTGATTAAGTGGAGTTAAAAAAACCAGAGTGGAAAACAGGAGATTATAACAGGAGTTTACTAACCTGTAAGTGACAACTGATATTTCCTGTTAATATTGTAACTGGGATAATGAGTGCTAGCGGGTTGAAGGTTTTCTGCAGTGCACAGTGTTTCGCATGTATGCAACAGTGGAGCAACAGCTCCAGGTTGGATACTGCTGCGACAGATGTGAGTGGGTTGTCCTCTGGAAGCTCGCGTTAGAGATCTGGGGGAGCAAGTTGCAATACTGGGCAGTACTGACAACTTTAAAAGGGGTCTTCTGCTCTCTGAGCAGTTAGCTAATGGGATTGATGTGGAGGGGCTAGTCAGGATTATCAGGTAGGAAGATGGGTTACTGTAGCGAGAGGGTGTGGTAGGGGCTCACAGAAAAGGAAAGCTGGACCTGGGTTTAAGCACCCACACAGATTTGCCAAGTTGGGTGAAGATGTGGGGGTGGCAAGCTCAGGGGTGACAGCCCTCAAAGTTACTGCTATCCCTAGCAGCCGGGGGGGGAAGACCATCTGGGAGGGATGGTGAGGGTAGTGCAGGAAGGCCTAGACAGTTGGTGGTAGTAGGGTATTCGGTAATCAGAAGGACTGATAAAAACATTTGCTGCCTGGATCACCTCAACTGAATGGTTTGCGGTCTCCCTGGTGCCTGGGTTCGGCATGTGATGGACCGGGTTGATTACTGGAAGGGCCTGGGCATGACCCAGCTGTCTTGGTCCATGTTGGAACCAATAGCAGAATACATGGAAGGTGGAGGCTCCTTAAGAATCAATTTAACCACTTCCCGTCCGGCCCATGTATATAAACGGCCGGACGGTGGCAGTGCAGGGTCGGGTGGCCGTTTATAAACCTCCGGACACAGTGGAATATCGATCGTCGGACGGGACCTCTGTGCGAGGCCCCGATCATGTGATCACTGATTGGCCAATCAGTGATCACATGCAGAGTAGTAAGCAATGATGTCACTTCTGACATCATTGCTTACTACGTGTGAAATCTGTGAATGATCACAGAGGTCACATGGTACAAGGCTATTCACAACAGCCTTGTACCATGTGACAAGCTGTAACCAATCACAGCTCGCACAGTATTTCTCAATTGCTGCAAGAATGCAGCCAGAGAGGAGGAGAAATTATTGCTTTTACAGCCTTTATGGGTGTAAAAGCAATCGGTGTACAAAAAAAAAAAAAAAAAAAAATCTTCATCACCCCCCACAAGTAGTACAGTGTCACCATGGTACTACTACTGTACTGCTAGGGTGACAGTATGTAAAAAAAAAAAAACCACAAAAAAAAAAATATAAAAAGTTTAAAAATTATAATTTTTGGTTATAGACTAATTTGGGTTTTTTTTTACTAAAAAGATAACGGAATAATATTTATTTGCAAAATATTATAAGAAAAACACTTTTTTTTTCAAAATTTGTGGACTTTCATTTACATAGCAAAAAAAATAAAAATCCCAGTGGTGAATAAATACCACCAAAATAAAGCTTTATCTGTCTCAAAAAAATGCTACAAAATTCATATGGGTATAGTGTTGTATGACCGCGCAATTGTCATTCAAAGTGCGATAACGCTAAAAGCTGAAACTTGGACAGGAAGGGGGTAAAAGTGTCCGGACTGGAAGTGGTTAAAGAACTAGGCTGCAAGTTGAAGGGAAGGACCTCCAAGGTGATATTCTCTGAAATATTACCTGTACCATGCGCAACTCAGGAAAGACGGGAAGATTAGAGAACTAAATGCATGGCTAAAGACCTGGTGTAAGAGGGAAGGATTTTGGTTTCTAGAGAACTGGGCTGACTTTTCAATGGGGTGCAACCTATATGCTAGAGATGGTTTGCACCTAAATGGCAGGGGGTCTGCTGTGCTAGGGGAGAGGTTTATGGGGAGACTGGAGGAGTATTTCAACTAGGATCAACGGGGGAGGGAGAATTAGATTATAATGGGGCACACAGATCAGACAGTGGTCAGTCCTTATTGGTGGGTGGAAATGGGGAAAGATGGGGGGAAGCTATGGCAGGTGATAAGAAGGTTCCCATGTACAAATAACCATTGGAATTGGTACCATTTGTTTGAAAATAAAAAATATACAAAATACGTGTGCACAAGGTGCCATTGAATTAAAGTGTTCACCAATGCCAGAAGTCTGCCAAGCAAAATAGGTGAGTTGGAAGCTTTGGTGCATGAAGAGAACTATGATTTAATTGGTATTGCTGAATCTTGGCTCATTCTTCACATGACTGGGCCAATAATATTCCTGGCTATGTTCTCTTTCGGGAAAACAGGGTAAAAAGGAGAGAAGTGATCTCAGAGCGAGTGTGAGAGAGGACCTAGTTGATGGAGAGTGTGATGAGGCTGAGGCATTATGGGTGGAACTGGTGGTATGTGCTGCAAAGGTAATCATTGGAGTTTGTTATAGGCCTCCCAGTGTTAATGAGGAGGTGGAAACTCAGTTCCTTGCACAGATCGAAAGGGCTGGGACAGTAATAATAATGGGGGATTTTAGGTACCTAGTAATCGACTGGAGTAATGGCTCTGGAGAAAAGGTATTTAGCAGTTTATATTTACTAAAATAATTTCATCTCCATATTCTGTGGGAGACCTGATTGACTGAATGCAGAGTCCTGGGGTTAGTAACACTTTTAAAAGCATATTTTTCAATAAATGTCGCGCTCCTAATTATTATCAATTATTACCCATATAGTAATTATGCAACTATCAGAATATATAATTTAGAGCAAATGACAAACAAATCAATAAAATTAAAAAGTAATAATAATAAAAAACATAAAGTCTCTGGTACCAACTTAATAGTGATAGTCCCAAAATATAATGTGATCCAAAAAAAAACAATTGTGAAAGTGAATAAAAAAAAAAAAATTTCTATATTGGTATAAAAGTGATAAATCCCAAAAAGTGATCAAAAATAAGTAATTGCAATTCCCAGCGACTTTTTATTGTGATTAGGTTACGCGCTCACCTCCTTTTCAGCCTGTAACAGGCTTACCTCGCTTTTTGTTCACATATGGAACTTTTAGAAATTCTGTTGCACCATGTGAAGAGTGGTGTGTATCCCTTAATTGCTTCCCAATGCTCTTATCCTCCTTGCCACTATCCCCGCAGGGATCTTTCACTCTTTCTCCTGCTCTTTATCTCCTCCTTAATGTTCCTCAGTAAGAAAAAAGTACAGACATAGTGCCTTATCTTTTGAACACTAAAATGCTTTTATTGCGTGCCCAAATGCACTCACATTAGATAAGATAAGAAACCCCTTTGTTTAAAATCAACTGCAGACAACTTTGTGCGCCGCACACATAGTATACTCGCTGTCCACGGGTGTGTAGTGACGTCGTAGCCCCTCCCCTACGCGTTACTCTGCAGTTCACAATCACAAGCCCCTGATGAAGCCGCGTGACCTGCGGAGTAACTATTAAATTGGTACCAGAGACTTTGTTTTTTATTATTATTACTTTTTAATTTTGATTTGTTTGTCATTTGCTCTAAATTATATATTCTGATAGTTGCATAATTACTATATGGGTAATAATTGATAATAATTAGTAGCGCGACATTTATTGAAAATATATTTTTTGGTATGCACACGTGATCTGAGGATGCGTTTTATGTCAGCGAACCTTATTTGATTATATTAAGTGGCTCACAAGTTATATTCAAATTTAATTGTCACTTTTAAAAGCAACCTTAAAAAAGTAAACTGTGCTCTCTGCTTTAAAAGCACAATGCACCACCGCTCAGAACCTTCACCTCCTGCTCATTCTGAAGTTAGGTGGTCCCATCTGAACTGCCTATATACACATGCTGTTTATTTACATTAGCAGGATGGCAGGATGCAAACATTCTGTTCCTTAGTTTGCATAATCTAGGCACAAGTTCACTTTAAAGCAGTATTCAAAGTGGTTGTAAACCTCTGAAATGAAAAAAGAACAAAGCATATCCTTCTATAGTGTGTATTTGTCTTAAAACAGAACTTCACCAAACAGTGGACGTTCTCTTGTTTCTCCTCCTCCACTTCCACATTTGGCACTTTGGGGGGGTAGCAGGTACCTGGTTTTGACATTTACCCACTCCCATTTCCGATCAGATGCGGCAATCTGAGCTAGAAGTTCTGCTTCCTTCGCCTGTAGCCTTCTGGGACACTTCACAGGTCCCAGAAGACTGCGGGACCATTCAGAAAGCGCAGTGTGCTTTGCACATGCTTAGTGGGAAACCAGCTGTGAAGCGGAAAGTCTTCACTTCAGATTTCCCTTACTGAAGATACTGACTCCTGCACTTGAAACGGATTAAAGAATCGGCTCAGGTGAGGACATTTACTGGATCCCTGGACAGGTAAGTGTCCTTATATGTACTAAAAGTCAGCAGCTACAGTATTTGTAGCTGCTGACTTTTAAGTTTCTGGGGGGAGCCTGGAACTCTGCTTTAACCCAAACCCCCGAGTGTAATTTCTGTCTGTTCAGTCATTCTTCTGCCAACAGTATGAGTCACATCTAACAGTCTACATGAGCACTAGACAATCCCAAGAGACAGCTGGCCCTCCCCAGCACAAAGCAGGTAATGCACAGCCTCAGCTGTGCATATTTCCCTATGGGACTGTGTAGAGGGGGGAGTGTGTTTTTTCCTTCTATTTAGGTCTCAGATTAGCTCTCTCTGCTCTATGCTGTGCAGTGTGTGACATCAGATCCCTGCCCCCTGCCTTCTGGAGCTCAAAAATGCTGTGTAAAATGTAGGCTGTGGAGCAGAGATGGCTGCAGATAAACAGGTACAACTTATGTAGTATTATTTGTTTCATCTCTGTGTGTCACCTGAGGCTAGTCACTTCAGTGGGTTTACAACCACTTTAACCAAAAAAACAAACATTTACTGTATTACAGCTTACCAACTCTTAGATGTGGTGGCTGCATTTGTTTCCTTTTTTCCCCTTTATTTTCACCTGTTGATCCAGCTAGTAAGGGGGGTGAGACAAATCTTTAATTCGCTTTCAATAATCAACTTTTATTCATTAATGTAAAACCTGTTTCCCAAAAAGAAAAGCAAGCTGTTGCTGTAACTACATAAAAAAAAAAGTGTTAGTTGGAGTTTGGCTTTCATTTCTTGGTCAAGTCTCAAATCTTGATTGCTGTTCAAAGGTGTCTCCATTGCTCTGCCTTTCAGAGTGGAGACACCCTAAGACAGAAAGTGTGTGTTACTAGCCAGATCACCAGGTGAAAATCGAGCCAAAAAAATTAAAACAAATACAGTCGTCATATTGGTAAACTCTAATATATTAACCACTTCCTGTCCGGACGCTTTTACCCCCTTCCTGACCAGGGCAATTTTCAGCTTTCAGCGCTATCACACTTTGACAATTGCGCGGTCATGCAACACTGTACCCAAATTAATTTTTTACCATCTTTTTGACACAGATAAAGCTTTATTTTGGTGGTATTTATTCACTGCTGGGATTTTTATTTTTTTTGCTATGTAAATGAAAATGTCCAAATATTTTGAAAAAAAGTGTTTTTTTTTTTTATAAAATTTTGCAAATAAATAATATTTCATCATAAATCTTTGCCAAAATGTATTCCGTTATCTTTTTAGTAAAAAAAAAAATCCAAATTAGTTTATAACCAAAAATTATAATTTTTAAACATTTTTCTTTTACATTTTTCTTTTATTTTTATTTTTTTTTTTTTTTTTACATACTGTCACCCTAGCAGTACAGTGTCACCATGGTGACACTGTACTACTTGTGGGGGGTGATGAAGATTTTTTTTTTTTTTTTACACTGATTGCTTTTACACCCATATAGGATGTAAAAGCAATCATTTCTCTTTCTCTTTGTCTGCATTCTTGCACTCATTGAGAAGTACTGAGTGAGCTGTGATTGGTCACAGCTTGTCACATGGTACAAGACTGTTGTGAATAGCTTTGTACCATGTGATCTCTGTGATCATTCACAGATTTCACACGTAGTAAGCAATGATGTCACAAGTGACATCTTGCTTACTACTTTGCATGTGATCACTGATTGGCCAATCAGTGATCACATGATCGGGACCTTGGCCAA